TGTCATTTAGTTGCTATAATACAGAAGTTTAATATTTATACTGTCAGTCCTAAATACTACAAGCAACGTGCGCGGTCAGTCCTTAAAACCACAAGCAAAGTGCGAGGCCAATCCTTTAAACTACAATAACGTGCATCTGACAATTTTATGAACTCATTCACTACAAAACTAGTGTTAAAATAACTTCAGTTATTCTACTACGTATAGAAGACAAACCGTTCAAGTCAACTTCAGGATTTTACTACGTATAGAGGACAAACCGTTAAAGTCAACTTCAGGATTTTACTACGTATAGAGGAAAAACCGTTAAAGTCAACTTCAGTTATTTTACTACGTATAGAGGACAAACCGTTAAAGTCAACTTCAGTTATTTTACTTCTTCCTCCGTTGTGTTAAACTATGTTCAGGCATGCTACTTGAAACTCAAGACTTTATATTCTGGAAGGTAATGAACATTTGTGAGAGTCACTGGATCAACGAATGAGTGGGTTTAAGGAGGACTGAAATGAATTACGAATTACCTGTAAATGTATTTTTGTTTATTGGTTTGTTTATCATTACAATGGACCATCTTTGCTCTGCCTGCTGTGAGTATCGAATCCGGATTTTTAATGTTATAAACCCCCAGACTTGCCGCTGAGCCATCGGGGGCTATTTGTAATGGCATATGATATAAATGAAAGTACAAGCCGCCAGGAGTATTCTTGGAATTGTTCTCTTTAAAAATTCTTTATTTAACGGTAAAATATGCACTTGTAACGAAATCTGTGGGTCAGATTTCGAAATAATAGAATAAAAATTATTCGAAAAAAATGCGCTTTTAAAAAATAAACATACTTTTATTTCTATGAATGTGTAAAGTGAGGATTGATGATAATCTTGGCATGACTTTTCAAACACAATTCACAGTCATAACGTTAGTCGAAAAGCTTTCATTGAACTGTTTCTTGGTGTTAGATGTGAACTATTCGATTTTGTAGTAATTGATTTTTCACGAAAAAAAAATATTTGTTTTCGAAAAAAGCTACATGGTTTGTGAAAATGTTTTTCTGAAACTAAAAGAGTTTGAGTTTTCTTAGCATACGCATTGCTTTTGATACATTTTGCTTTAGTGAAACTGAGAGTACATGGTTTGCGTCCCTTTGTCACAAAATCGCCCTCCACACTCTGAGATCATGAGTGTGATATATACGTGACAGTTAAATCCTGCTTTTTTGATTATTCTAACCCGAAAGAGTTGGCAGCGGTTGCTCTTGACTAGCTGTTTTTTTATCAGTTTTGTTTGTTTGTAATTATGCACAAAGCTACACAATGAGCTATCTATGCTCTGCCCACCACGGGTATCGAAACCCGGTTTCTAGCGTTGTAAGTCCGCAGACATACCGCTGTGCCACTTGGGGGGCTTTATCAGTTTAAAATGAGGAATAACTAGCGCAGATGGTTTTTGTGTAGCTTTGCGCAAGTATCGGAAACAAGTTTTGTTCCAGGGTGGTTGCAGTAACAAATATTGTGTAATTTTTACTCTAAGGGGGGAGGTGTTAATTACATGGATCATTTATCCTTTTTCCGACAGCCAATGAAACACGATGTGGTTCAAAATTTGGCAGCCAATTAATCAGAAGGAATTCAGTCATACTTTCTATATTTAATACTAACATAAAAAAGTAGAATTAATCAGTAAGAACTTTCTCTTTGAAAGCAAAGCGTATTTTTTCTATGATTTTTCATTAATTTTGAAACACGTGCATTGTTAGGACGACTTCTTCTCTCCTTATAATTACCTTTTTGTGACGTAAATATGCTATTTTCGCCCGAATTCTTTACTGATCTTGTATTTCATTTTCCACAAAATAAACCTGCATGTGATACAGCACATATCTAACAGGCTGTTAAACTTATTATTGAACAAGCTCCATCTTTGAGTACCAACGTAGTTCAATAAAGCATACTTTCTTCGGTGCGGCATTATTTAGTCTACACGTTGTTTGTCATTTATAATAGTTAAAACCTTTCCAGCCGTAAGGTAAACGCCCACGCGCTGCTAGACATTATTAGTTGCCATGGGTAACTGAGCATGCGGAGAATTTCAGCAAAGCCACCCGCTGTTGCTAGTATCTTCCCCTCGGGGATTTCCGAGGATGAGAACATGCTAATTTGCGTGAGTGCTTCAAAATGGTTATGTAACATGGCATAAATCTTCGGGAGCTCGACAAAAGGTTACTTTTTTTCACGCTTACATCCGTCCAATGAGCTTCGCCATTAGCGATACGAGGTCAGACTTGAAAACTAATTTCCGGAACGTTGCTCAAAGTTAAATCCACATACACGAGTTATTTTCATGTTTCTGTCTTTCGGACAGCATTAATAAACTATCTTCTGCTTTCTCATACTTCTCTGTTTTTAACTTATAAAATAATAAAACTCAATCATTTTTCTCTAAACCGATCCATATGTCACAAATACAGCCGTTCTCAGTTTAAAGATTAGTTTTGTTTAATTAAACTTTACGTTGAGTAACTGCTCCTCTTTAACAACAATGATTTGTATTTAATGATATTACATCAAGCTTTCGTAAAAATTATAACTATTTTTAGAGAATTCTATATCATTTCCGGGATTATATCCTATTGGTATTAGTTTGCTCCTGCGCCGAAACTTAAGGAAAGTTTATTAATTTCTGGTTATATTCTTATAACATGCTTTCACTTGACAAACACCGAGGCTTCTCTTGTTTTTATTGAGTTGACATACGACTTAATCCTTCGTATTAAATTACAGTACTTTCACGCCACAGGTATATATTTATACTTGTCATATATTTTTTAGATTTCCAACCAATAAAATGGTTACATTCTATGGAAGATTAGTTTAAGATTTTTAACAACTTGTTTTCTCATTCCATCTAGTTGTTTCTGTTTAAGCACAAAGTTCCGCAATGGACTACTTGCGCAGAACCCTTCGAAGGGATCGAGCCCCTATACTTTAACTTTTTTAAGTCCTCGAGCTTACCGCTGAACCATGAAGGGAACATTCTTTCAGCAAAATAATAATTTTTTTTCTGTTTTTTTATTTATTTGCTGTTAAGCACAAAGCTACACAATGGGCTATCTGTGCTCTGCCTACCACAGGTATCGAAAACAGATTTTTAGCGTTATAAGCCTGTAGGGAGGCTGTAACTGTAAGTCGGTGTAAATAATAAATCATTGCAAACCTCAAAACTGGTGTATTAAAGTGTTTTACACTCACAAAAAAGAAACCTATCATTCTATAGGTATTTGAAGAACTTGT